AGGTAAGTGCCCTGCCACAGGGAAGGCAGGAGGGACCTGCTGCCTCTCCCTCAGCACGAACCCAGCTTTAGGAATGACCAGAGGCTGCGCTGGCACAACCGGCCACTGGAGAGACACTGATGTACAGGAGAGCAGGCTTGTTAGTTCTGCTCATCGAGACGTAATTTACTGCAGTTTATTTTCACTTGGTGAATCAGAAACGCTCTCCCCAGCGTTCCCTTGCACTGTCAGGTGCAGTGGTAGCTGCTTTCCTTTGCCAGCACTCCCCACCCTCCAACCCAGGGTCTGCTGGGGTGCTGCCATGGGAAGGTTATGCTGTCAAGGTGTCCTAGGGGTGATCTCCTCTCAACAGCTGTGACTGCAGAAGAGGAAGGAAACCATTTGTTTTAAGTGCCCGAAGGAGAAAAGTGCATTATGGGGGAGGAAGGAAGAGATAAGGGCAATACAGCCCACAAAAACCTGGGATTGATTGATAGATAGATAGATAAATAAATAAATAAATACAACTGCACTGAAGGGAAGGAGAGAGTGATCACGAATGGGATTTACAGAGCAAACAGACCAGAACTAGGCAATGGGAAGAAAGGGAAGCTGAAATGTGTTGTGCAGGGTAACTAAGATGGGAAGGCAGTCATGGACTGGGGTGATGGGAGAGGGAAAGAAGAGGGGAGAGCCAGATGGAATTGTCTGTATGTAATACAGAGGGAGAGCTCTGTGAGTGAGCAGAACAGATGCCTGTGCTGGGCAATGAGCCTGGGCTTACTCTATTCCTTATTACTAGGCTACAGCATACACAGGAAGATCAAATGAGAAGCAATTTGGAATGATTTAAATGGAAGGCAGGAATGAAAAAGGGGTCAGGGTGTAAAGGATACAGATGCAAAAATCAGGGTCTAAAAGGGTTTAGCAGCACTTAGTCACTGAGCACTTTAACATTTACAGAGCGATTCCATGGGGTTTATTACAATTATTTACTCAGGTAAGTGGTCTATCGGGGCCACAGAGGATAATTGCTTATTCTTGGTTTCCCACCTTGGCTGAGCAGTTGATGGTTCTGATTGTTCCCACCTCCACCACGCAAGAGCTCCTGTGGGATCAGGGAGTGCCTCACGGCTCCCCTGGTTTGGTCAAGGGATAGCAGGAGCTTCTGAGGATGAGGGGGGTGAGTGTGTGTGTGCACCCCCACACCATCACAAGTATCCATGTATTTACAGCAGGTTAGCTTTTCTCCTGTTATCAGTTCCTTTCTTCACTTGGGTGACAAAGGTCCCTGAATTGCTTCCAAAGTCTCCTGCCCTGAAAACACAGGATGGAATTTTGTCTGTATGTCTTGCACAAACCTTACACTCCCAGCAATGTTAAAAGAATGCTATGGCTGCAAATTCAGGTGGAGGGCTGTGTTTCTAAGGCTGTTAAATACAAAAGAAGGAGCCATTGGAAGATAAAAGTCCACCAAGCAGGAGAAAACCCAACTTTATTATTTCATACAACATCTGATCTGTTCTAACACAGCAATTAACACCTCTGCTTTTGTCCCTCATTTATACGGATTTTATTTATGAAAATATTTTGGCAAGCATTTGATATTTGACAACCAAGAAAGACCTTTTAGCCATTTCACCAACAAAGTCTTAAAATAATATTCCCAAGGTTAATTTCTCTGACCCAGTCATGTTTTTTAACAGCAGCAACTTACTCAGGCAAAATTTGAGTATTTGCAACATCCAGTCTGGCTTTCTCTCTGCCCATTCTTTACAGTAATATGCTTGGTTTAAATCCATTCCTTCCAGTCTCTGGAATGTTTTGTTTCCTTTTACTTTTTCTCTCTCTTCTTTTTTTTTTTTTAATTTTTTTTAAAGCTGTCTTCTCTTTGGTTTTGTCTAGCTCCTTTTTTCCATTACAGTTCTGTCTCTCTGCAATGGTTTCCCTCCCTCTCCCACTGCTGCACACGTTGTTGCTGTCCAGAACAGATAAGGACCTTGTGACAGAGATCCTTTGTTGGCTTTTTTTTTTTTTTTTGGTCAGAAAAGTGCAAAATACAACCTCTTTAATCAAAGGACATTCCAGCCAGTTACACTCCTCAGTTCTTCAAAGCAAACTCATATACTCAGACTTTGTTACAAACAAGTTCAAACCAAAGTCAAGGTCAGAAAGATGGCACTAACAGAGCTCATTTCCCCCAGCATTTACCCTGTTTTATATGTACTTTTTTCACATGTGATGTACTGAAATGCTCATGCTTTTAGTGTTGCTAACAGAAGGCAGATGTGAGGGGGTAGGTGCAAGGGAAGGCAGCACTGCCTGTAATTATGCTCTGTTAGGTGACATTTGACTGTGGGGAGACCTTGTTGCTGTCTGTCTCTGAAGATGTGCTTGTCACTTGGCAGCTTTAAAAATACACCTGCAGTTACATCCAGAATTATTTTACAGATCCTGTCACTCTGCAGGACACACAGATAGTGCTGGAAGTCAAAACTTGTCTTTTAAAGTTAATCTCTACATTCAATCAGGGGTGAACTCTGAGTGAACTGACTCTGGCTTTCAAAACATACTTTGCATTTCTGATACTATCTTCCTTCTTAAAAGTATTTTACAAACTGTTCTGTTTACCAAGATGCCAAACTAGTAAGATCCAGTCAGCTCTGAAGTAGAAAAGAGCAATCCCCTCACAGGGAGTAACCAGCAGTTCCACTGTGCAAGGAATTTTATCTCAATCAACAGGGGCAGGTTGGCTCCCTGCTATGGAAAAAATCAAGACACGAGTTAGTTGGTGTCTTCAAGATACTTTTCATCAACCTCAGTAAACTTTTGTGACAAGTTTTACTTGTTTTCTTTCAAATCAGCAGGTTCTGGCATAAAGTGAACTAGGATTTAACTTATCATAGCTTCTCAAAGAGCAGGATGCCAAAAGCAAACCAGCATCACACCTCAGTGCACGGCACCACAGCTGAACAATCAGATGCACTGCCTCTCCCAGCCCAAACCCACCAGCTGCATTTCTTAGCCTGATTACATCCTTTCAAGTAATAGCTCCAAAGTCTGCAAAAAAGCCCCAAACAAGCAACTGAATTAATGTGTTGTTTGGTACACTTGGATAAACACACAGATTTACCAGGAGAGACAGGGATCCATTCTGCCTGAATCGAGTGGGAAGCTGCTGTAGGTATTTCCTGAAGTGTGTGTTTCACCTCTCAGACATCCTCGATTGCCTTTCTTTGTTGCTGCTTGAAAGAAACTCCTTTCTATTTCAAAGTTCACAGGTTTCAACTCACTCCAAAATCCTCTTCTCACTGTGACTTCTGCTCCTGAATTTTCTGTCATTTTTCTCTTAATGGTGTTGGCCTGTCACTGTCATATTTAATTGCTCACATTTCAGAATAATACCATGGTAATATAACAGATAATGTCACCTCTTGTACATTTGGAACAGTATCTAAGCCTCCCTTTGGTTGTATTTTATGTGGTTACTTTTGTAATGTGCTTAATTGGGAAGTATTGATATTCTTTGTCCTTAGTGACTTTCCCAACTCCTTGCAAGGAAATCCAGAGCTTATGTAATGTATTATTGTTGTGAGCACTGTTGGGGTTTTAAAATAATAGGTTAAGGATATAAAAGGAGAAAAACTTACAGGAAAAGATAATAACATTTCTCAGATTAATTGATTCAGACTGAAAAATGGAAATTCTTTCAAAGGTGTTTCTTCACAGAAATTTCCTCTCACGTTATTTTTTAATGAATGTGAACCAAAGAAGAATATTAGGCACTGTAAATCTACAGGATGGGCCTGACCTTGAGGCTCAAGCTCAGGCAAATATTTAGCAAGTCTTCTAACTGCTATCTACAGCTGACAAAATATTCTAAGACACTCAACAAATTCTTTAGTAATACATTCCAATGTCATTACAATGCAGTGTCAAATAGCATTCCAAGCTGGATTTCATACACTGCTTCTGGGGTTTAGGGAGAAGAATATCACCTGGTTCTTTTAAAACACAGTCTTTGCCCTTCAGGTTTATTGATTTATTTATTTAGCAGCATGCTAAAATTCCTTGCTGCCTTGACTGGCAGCATGGAAGGGTGAAGGGTAAAGAGCCAGAGCTTCCCCAGCTCCATCACACCTCAGTTTTCAGGTGACACTGGTTACATTCTTCCTTTCTCCCTTCCTGTTCTCCCTGATCCTATCCTTCACCTTCCTTGTCACTAGGAATACCATTCTCCAAATATTTTCTAAAGCTTTCTAGAGGCTGCACTACAGTGATATAAGGAAAATGAGAAGGTGAGGAGTGATGTTTAGGGAATATTACAGACAGCTCACAAGGACACAGTGTTCTTACACCAATTAAAAGTCGGTGATTTCAGTGTGTTTTTGCCAAAACACTGGATATGGAGTAAAAACTGGCTATCCTTACCAGAGTTCTTCCTAAAACTATACCACAGTATCCATCCACACTGCCATTTAATGAACAAACCAGAAGGGTCAGGTCTGTCATATCAGCATGTAAAACCTGTGAGTCCCAACTGTACCTGAAAACAATGGAAGTGGCTGACTAGAGAAACGAGAAATTTTTTAATGCCTATGTTTGGGGAGTTTATGCCAAGAAGTGCTTCAGGTCTTTAAAAGTCTGTGAAATGGTACCATGAGTAGAATTATAGAACCACAGAATGGTTTCATGCCAAAGAGACCTTAAAAATTATCTTGTTTCCCCCCTGCCATGGGCAGGGACACCTTCCACTAGCCCAGGTTGCTCCAAGCCCTGTTTCTCTGGGCAACCTGTGCCAGGGCCTCCCCACCCTCACAGGG